TATCCATTGATTGCCTCCCTCACCATCTGGGACCAGGGATTGAATCTGCAATCCAGGTACGTTCTCTTGACCAGGAATTGAACCTGTGACCCTTCAGGCCAATGCTCTAACCACATAGCTTCATCAGCCAGGGTAGGGTCCACCTTTTAAGGATAATTCTAGTCAAGAATCCTGAGTATGGTGATGTCAGTGTTTTAATAGGTGCTGGCCACCTGGGATGAGACCATCCAAGAAACTGCACAGAACACGAGCCAAGCGCCTGGAAATAGAGCACCTGGAAATAAGTCACTGCATTTTAGTTATCCCATGCTCTCTCCTCTGCCTATCCCCCATCCCCACCCCCGAAATGGGTGTGACTGCTTGCATTCCCCCCTGGCAATCTCACCCTCACACCCAGATACATGCATACATTTTCTTTCCCTCTTTTTCTTTCTCTCCTCTCACCTGTCTTCTGGCTTGCCAGATTTGCTTCTCCAGTTCCTCAGGTATCATTTTACCTCTAAGAGACACAGATTTGAGACATCCAGTTATGTTTGGCAGTGAACACACACTGGTACTGCTTTTTTAAAAGTAGGAATTTCCCCCTCCACCCACCAGGTTCCTGGATCCTGTCCCCGTTACCTTCCATCTGTTTCCACAAAGCAGACATTCTCTGTACCAATCCCAAGAAAGGAGGCTGCCTTCTTCATGGAGTAATGACACTGAATTAAAGGGGCAAAGGGAAGAAGGAGACATGAATTCGTGGCATGAAAAAACTACTGCTTATTATCTAAATGGGTATAAGTTATATGGCTGAGCACAATCTTTAAAACATTACTGCATAAAAGAAAAAGAAAGTAGTAATTTAATTGAGCCCCTAAGTGCAGTGGTTGAGAATACTGACTTTGATTGGAGTCAGAGAGAACAGGATTTAATTACAAGTTTTCCCAGTTACAGCTATGGAAGCTTAAACAAATAATGTACACTCGCTAAGCCTCAATTTGCAAATCTGTAAAATGGGCATGTCGATGCCGACTCCATCTTTGTCATAGAATTCAATGGGTTAATATATATATATAAAGGGATTAGCACAGAGCCTGGCATATGGAACACACTTGGTGGCTCGAGGCTGTTTTCCATAACATTGAGGGAAGTTTCTCTTGATGCTACTAAAACTCAATGGCAAGAGAATCTAGTCCACTGCTAACTCAAAACCCTCTAGGAGCGAGCAAGACTCTGTCTCAAAAGTTATAATCCCAGATCACAGAAGAGTTCCATGATTTTCAACAGCAAATAATGGGTTATAAATACTGATTGGACACTTGACCAGTCTGGTTTAATATTCAGTGTAAGGCTGGAGTCAGACATACCAGAATGTGGCTAAAATAATAATAACAAAATCAATAATAATTTATAGACAGATTACTTTATGCAGCCCTGACATGAATGAGTCTAATGGCTCTGGAATTAGGTCTCATCTATTTCTTATTGGAGATAGTAGAATATGCTTTAGATTACTGCACCTTTTCCGCCTACTACATGAAGCCCTAGATAATTAGCATTCAAACATTGGAGATGTCAGTCTTCATACATTAGTGTGGACAGGTGGTCAATTAATTCTTTTTCAAGCCAGAAAAATTAAGCTGCTAACAGACATTATTGTACCCAAAAAACCTTAGTAATTTAATTTGTAGGTATGAATACATTAAGAGTAGTCATGCCTTCACACTTATCTTGATATATCCCCTCAAATGTGGTAATTTTCTTCTTTTGTCAAGAGAGTTTTATTGGAAGCTCCTTAAAAAAAAAAAAAAACCTCTAAAAATAAATGCAGAGGTAACACCATCAGAAAAAATGAAACCACCCTAAATAATTAATTTCCAAATGTCAACTAGAACCTGTCCAAAATGCCTGTAGGTTGCATTCATTTCAGGTGGTTGCAAAAAACATATACATATTGAGGAGCCATGACTTATATGAAAAGGTAATTAATTCTCTACTTGCTACATCAGCCCACCATTGCAAAGGTGACAAAGGGAAGGCCAATTATTTCTCGCGAGAGATTCGGGCTCTGGCAACCAAACAGCTATTGATTTCATAGTGATATCTGCCAAATAAGGAAAACCACATTGTTTTGCCCTTAGAAATAGCAAAATACCCCCACCTAATAGATCTGCTGAATAAAACACTGGTTATCAGAATAAGAATAGCCTCAGCGGAGCTATCTTTGGGTACCTCGGGGCTAAATATAGTCTGATGTCAATCCCAAATGCAGAGGGACAGATGAAACGCGGTCTGCAAAACTGAAGTCTGAGCATCTGAAAGCATCAGAGGAAGAAAAGAAAGAGGGCGATGCTTCAGACATGCTGAGCACTTTCAAGGAAAGGAAAACCTAGAAGGCTGAGCTCAGAGGGAAGAGCTGCATTTACAAACAAGTGGTGGCCGCTCCCATCACTGGCAGGAGAGAAGTCGGCTGTTCTAAGGCCCAATCCCCCTACGTTTCATTCCCCTACAGCAGAAGCAAACATCTCAGCGGGTGTTCACTGCTGCAAACTTAAAACAGCCAGTGCCTCCATGAAAGACAGACTGCCCTGAAGTCTTCCTTTCCGGTTCCAGCAAGGACTTTTCCCGTGACCTTGGGTTTCTCGATGAACCACTGATTCCCCCTCCAGATGGTGTTCTGGATGCTTGGACTGCTTCTAGTGCTGCCCAGTTTGATGCTCAAACTGGCTCTGGGTGGCGGGGAGAGCAAGGGCTGTGAATGCTGAATGCTATATTCTAGGGAAGAAAGAAAAGATTGTCTCCGAGAGCACACACTGGTTCAGTGCCCAAGGCAGCGGTGCCGGAGGCCAGGCGGACTGATCTGCGCTCTGCAGGGCATCCTCAGAGCACCTGCTTGCCTGTGGAGAACACCTGCAGTCACATCCAACCCGAGGTCAAGACCAGGAGGCAGGGCCAGGGATAGGGAGAGTGAAGGAGGCTTCTCGGGTACAAAATCTAAGGGAGCACGACCTGTGACATGCACCCTAGCGTCTCACTCGCCTCACCCCTGCCTTCATCCTGCTAGAGAGGAACTAGCACAATTGATAGCGGACCTGACAGCAATAGGAGTTTATTTTCTCCCCTCACTCTTTAGTGGCAAATGAGCGCTACTTTATGTTGACTCCCCAAATGATTTGAATGACAAACCTAAGATTTCTACAAATTCAAGGAATTCATAGTTACCTGCTAATCAAGTCACACATTTATTACTTTTGTTATTTTCCCCGCAAAGTCCCCTTCTCTCTGGTTCCTATTTAGCCTGGAGAGGCCACCTTGGATGTGCTCAGGGTCTACGGGTCTCTGTCATGACCTTCCAGGTTTCCACCAACAGCTGAATCGCAGTCAGAACCGGAAGTTTGCAAAAATGCCTCCAGTGGTGGGTACATATATTCTGCATATGATGGGCCAAGGCAGAGATGCAGTAATTACCCTGGGTCATCTCGGGCTGCATAAAAACTGGGAAAGTCAGGCCACCTAACAAGCAATATGGGAAAATAACTACGAGCCATAGGCTAACACCCAAAAGAAAACAAGGAAGCCCTTATCAGGTTTGGCTCAGTGGATAGAGCATTGGCCTGAGGACTGAAGGGTCCCAGGTTTGATTCTGGCCAAGGGCACATGCCCCAGTTGCGGGCTCGGAGGCACCTGGTCAATGATTCTCTCATCATGGATGTTTTTATCTCTCTCTCCCTCTCCCTTCCTCTCTGAAATCAATAAAAATAGGTTTTTTAAAAAAAGACAAAAGAAAATAGGGGAAGATAGCAAAAAGACTAATGTTGGGTTTAAGATCAATTAGGTCTTTAATTCTTTATTTTTAACTAAATGATGAATTGATTTGTTGTAACGAATGGGGAAGGTGGTCATAAAATATGAATTAGGATAATGCAAATGCTATGAACTGAGTCTCTTTGGCAGAACAGGGAAAGGAACAAGCTACAGGGTGGAGTCTGGATGGATGGGGTGAGAATATATAGTCAGGGCTATTCTGTGGTTGAAGTTATGGAATTTCTTGGTGGAATTCTCATTGTTATATCAAAATTCATGTGTGTAATCCCCAGCCTCCAGTGTGATGGTATTGGTTAAAACTGGGTGAGATTAATGGCCGTATAAGAATAGGCATGGAAATAGGAACTCAAATGCAGGAGAGACTTTGATTCCTGATATGCTAGGGTTCCTCAAACTGAGATACCACGGGTTGGAACCCAGAGAGGAAAACTCTACTCCATAATAATCCCAAATAACCAAGTGTTTTCCCCAGATGCCCACATTCCCAAATATTCTTCTCTTGCTATAGAAACAATGTCTCGTGAAGAAGGGCCTTGGGGTGGCTGAGTAAAGAATCACAGACTAGGGGATGCCTCCCAACACCCAATGCCCACTTCACACTTGGCGCTGAACTAACCAGAGCAAAGGGCAGACAGGACAGGAGGAAAACGAGGGGGTGTCTGTCATGGTTTCCTTCCACGGTGGACCCCTTTGTACAATCTGTACTTTGTGATAATAAAGTCACTTTTGCTCTTGAAGGAAAAGAACAGATATAGGAAAGCCCAGCAGGAAATAACAGGGAATTTTCAGATTCTGCCAGCCTCGTGTGTTGCATAAGAGACCTAAGGTTATTGCAAAAGGTACAGAAGCTACACTCTCTGCCAGTGACGTGAGGGAAAAGCAGCTGTGGATGGGCAGAGGCACCAGTGGAATCACACAAAAACAGAAAAGAAAAATAATAGTGTCTTCCAGATAAGACGGCACGTAAGCTGTGCCATCTATTCTAACCACATAATTAGAGTTGGATCATTCTCTTCCCACTAATAACAAGAGCAAACATTTTTTTCTATCTTCTATGTGCCAAATGCTACTTTTCATGCATTAACTCATTCAGTCTTTGCAACACTCCACTAACCGGTGACCATTAAGCTCATGTGACTGTTGGGTTGCTTTAATGGCCCAAATTGTTTACTGCTCCTGTGTCTATACCCTTTCCCAGAAGGCTTTGCAGCAAATATCCTTAAGAGGTAGACTATTTTCTCACTTCTTGTTTCTGGGTTCCTAGACATGACTTAGTTTGCCAAGAAAATGAGGCAGATATGACAAGGTGTCAGTTCTGAGCCTAGAACTCGAGAATCCCAGAATGCTCCCATGCAGTTGTGTTCCTGCTACCACTGCCATAAGAACACACCTGCACTAGCCTGCTAGAGGGAGAGAGACAATGAAGTTGGGAGGACTCACTGGAGTTATCCCAGCCAAACTACTCCTAGATCAGTCATTGGCTGGCCAACCCCCAAACAGGTAAGGGAGCCCAGCAAGTGTAGGTGAACTGCCCAGCTATCCCAAGACTTGTAAACAATAACCTGTATATTTCTATGCCACAGAGTTTGGGGATAATTTTCTTAAATACAGGAGCTAACTGATATGCTCATTTTTGCAAATTTGGAAACTAAGGCATAGAGTAGTTAATCAACTTATCCAAGGTCACTCAAATAGTAAGTAGTAGAGACAAGAAATGAACCCAGACAGCCTACTTCAAAGCCATGTACCTATCCACCATCAGAGCCCCTACTGAAGAGGAGAGTAAAATGAGATAGGGGATTGTAGCAACATGCAGGGGTGTGTGTGTGTGTGTGTGTGTGTGTGTGTGTGTGAGAGAGAGAGAGAGAGAGAGAGAGAGAGAGA